TATCAATTATCAATTTTTCAATACCTAATTTTTTGCTCTTTTGTACAGATTTATCGCAAGTGTACCCTGGAAAGATCCTCAAATAATCACGTCAAATGCATAAGGAAGTGTGTTAAATGAGATAATGGATTGAGGTAGATTTAATCCGGTGGAGTGCTGAGAACGGCTCTTTGCATCTCAAGCAAGAGACCGACATAGTTCCAGCAGATTTCTCTCCGCTTTGCTCTCGCTAGAACAATTTCGCTCCGCAATTTCTCGCTCTCGTTTTTTTTCTGCGCAAAACTTTGAAGAAGAAGGAAAAAGTCGACGGAATTATGCAACGAGGACGTCTCGGGTGTGTAATTGCTGAGAGGGGTGCTGCGCTTTGCCGGCTTGAAGACGAGCGAGGAAGGGTCTTTAATAATCCGCCCGCGTATTGTGCCCGCAAGCGGACGAGCAAGAATTTTGCAAAGAGCAACAAAATTTAGGGTGGTTGGCACGCTGCTTTTTTGAGCTTGGGCAAGTCATTAATTTGGGTCGAGCCGGGGAAAAATCAATGGCCATGCACACCGTCGCCAAGAGTCGAGCTGCCGGCTATGCTAACTAGAGTTGAGCCAAAGTTTCTATTATAACCATAGAGAGGGTGGCTTTAATCCCCGTCGCCATTCATCGGACGCTTCTGCTGTTTTTTTCCTCCCACCGACTATGCAAACTTTGCCGACAACAACAATACTTCTTTTCCCAAAAGACGCGGCCGCTAAGTAAGCGGGAGTGGCGCGGTTTCTGTTTGCAGATAGCGCTCATATCCAAACCCCACAGCACCGACGTATCTATTGCAGTGAAGAGGATGATGAAAAAAAACCTAATGCAAAAGAAAGGCGCCACTTTTATGAACTTCTCTCCTCAACTTATAAGGGGGAAAGTTTGCATTAGTTTTAAATAAATGCAAAGCTGCTTGGAGACTTTAAAACGCATTTAATTTAAGTGTATTTTTCAAACAGAGACAACTGATAATTATTGAGCTCAAAAATTAAATAATTTAAATCTGAAATTTATTGAAGCAAACTTGCGTAAGTTTTAGGCAACAATCACAATTTGTTTTCTTTATTTACAGAAAGTAAAATATAACTTAACAAGATAGTTTTCAATAAATATGCATCATTTTCTCGAGTTCTGAGCTATATTTTCAATCTTATTTATTTAATTGAATAATTATCAGAATATTTAATCACTGAATAATATTAAAATTAGGATACCAGATTTAAAGATTTCCAAAGGATTTCTAAACATAAAACAGTGCAATTTTTAAAATTGCAATTAAGATTTTTATTGTAAAATTTGATTTAATTTGTTCAAAGATATCAGCGAACACTTAGGATTAAAAAGGTGAATATTAACGCGTTACACGATCAGAAAGAAATTATTGTAGCTGCCATTATGATTCAAATAATATTTATGGGCATTTGAGTGATAGAGTCGCGGGCAGAAATTTATTAGACTGTTAGGGCTAAGATATTTAATTAAAATTCCGTACCTTAACTTTTATTTAAAAAATATTTCTGTTGGTAGTTGATCCAAGATTTAAAAAAATGGCAAACGAAATTGATGAGTTTTTATATTTTTGCCAATTAATATAGAAAGGTAGAGATTTTTTCCATAATATGGGCAGAATTATAATTGCCTTTTAGGATAGAACAATAAACACAATTTGCAAAACTAATGTTTTATGTTATTATGTATTCCCTCTGAACTTGTACACATGGGCGTGGTGCACAACGTCAAACCAGCTCAGGGGGAATAATTTGCACATTCACTTGGTCGTGAAACATTAGGAACCGCAATTCTTGGGAACGGCAGCTGCGAATACCGAATTCCGCGCACCAAATAACAAATTCGCCGTCGCGCTGCGGGCGAAAATCGGAATGGCAGAAAAAGCGGGGCTGCAGGTGCTGCTCCGGGATTTGAACTGATTTGAAAAATATTGACGCGGATAGCATGTTTGTCACTTGCTCTGCGGTGCAGCAGCAGCGATTTCAAACGGGGTTCAGAGATAAAATGTAAAACCTATATTTCTGGCGAAAACCGTTTTTCATCGGCGAATTCAAAGGAAGCGGAAGATTTAATTATTGGCGGCGCCCATCCCGGTGTTTCACGGTTTAATCAAATTCCCTTTGTTGCAGCCTCCGCCGCTGAGCACACATCATTCCGTTTTACATACTTTTGTTTCCGCAGCCGCCGAATTAATCGATGAGAAAAAGGGTGGAGTCGGCGAGCGAGTCGCAAAAGCAGGGCTAGCGCGAAATTCCGTGCGATCAAGCGCGTGACTTTCCGTTCGACGTAATCCGAGCACAAAATAAAAGTATAAAACGAGTCCACAGGAAAAACTGCTCAGCAGTTCCAAAATAAAGCTTAAAAGCAGGTGTTGTGGGAAATAATAATTACCGTGGATTTCCCTGGTTTTATTAATTTTCGTCTCTCGGCGGATTTAGCAAACAAAAGCTCTTTTGCACTATTATCGCTTCCTTTTTCTGAAAAACATGCGGCGTTCAAAGAGAAAAGGGAGGAATTAGCCAGCTTTGATAAGGGTACATAAAAAGTCTGTGTACCTTTTTGAGGGATGATGCTTAATTTAAATTTACAAAAGGCCCCTTTTCGCAGAGCACCATCGGGAAAGGCTTAACTTTAGCAGTACTTTTTCTTTAATTAATTATTCAGCGCTTATTCTCACGCGCAAAGGGATTTTGTTTGCGAGCAAACAGTGCGAGAGTCCTTTTGCCGAAACGGCCAGAGGTCTGCTCAAATGATAGCATTCAGCAGCTTTTTAGAGAATTCCTGATGAAGACGGAAGACTAACTACGTTCATCAGCTCAGATTTTAATGAGTGTTGTGCGTAGATAAACTCTGCCTGAATAGCCCCTTGCACAGTGAAAAGAAAAAAAATAGTCTTTTGAAACTCGGTGAAAACGAGGGAAAAATTGCATTAATTTATAAAGGGCCGCTGTCTGAAAACCAAGGAGGAGCGAGACGATTTAATCTTGATGTCGTTTCTTTTCATCAGCACATCTTTCAATGGAAATTACTAGATGGAAACATAAATTGAATAGAAATCAGAGTAATCACATACATTTTAAGACTTAAGATCATAGAAGGCAATCATTTATCTTACACAATCTTGAAGATAAATTTTCAGAATTATTTGACGACAAAATAATTGTTTATTCATATAAAAACCATACTCATTTTGTTACTTACTTAAAACAAATAATTAGCAATATTTTTTCCACAAATTTAAGAGTTTTATTAACAATATAGATTCCATAGTACATATAGGATTAATTTTTATATTCTATTTTATTTTACTTCAATTAATTTTATTTTAAAATAATTTATTTCAAATTATTATAAATAATTTTATCTTTTTTTATGGCACTCACATAGTTTTTTAATATAATACTGATCTCTGCCCCAACAGCTGGTTATGATGAGTAAAAATTCATTCGGAACTCCAAAAAACGGTTGGAATGTATTATTTTTATGTAACAATTTCTTGCAAAATTCCTAACTTAATCTGGAATTTATATTTTCTTGAAAATCCAAGATCATCCCGTTCATCCTCCTTTTTCCGTGCAATTTCGCTTCGGATTTAGCACCAATAATTCTGCTAATTCGCCCAAACTGCGCCAAATCGACCCTCCATTCCGAATCTAGATTCCAACGCCACACTCCTGCACTGCGATAAATTACTCTGTTATGGACTCTGGAGAGTGATTAGATCGGAGCGGGTTTATCACACGGAGCGCTTGATAATGACGATAAACGCCTGAAATATGGAGGGTAAACACAGGCTCGGTCCAATGAGTGAAATGGCCCGAAAGAAGCAGTGCGTGCTGCTCTGCTCTTAAATTCAGACTCGCAGGGCGTCTTTCTCGTAATTTATCGCCCAGAAAGCGACAATGACGTCGCCTTGAATATAAATAAATATATACACACAGTGCATTTATTTGTGTCGCCGGGTGCGTGAGATGATTTTAAATGGGCGCAAAACCCGAAGGATGAAAGGAGCTTTCGCGCCCGTGTGTTGCGCCAGCGACTTGGTTGTTTTTTGCTGCCGCACTAACTGACGACGAATTTCGCCGGGCGAGCTTTAAACAAACTGCTGCTGGCGAAATGCGATTCATAATGCTTGAATGAGTCTCAACGCCTCCTCACTTGAACACGAGCAAAACTAGACGTTGTCGTAACAAGTTGGCGAAAGGGGTGCGCAAAAAATTGTTCTTTGTGTGTCTCTCTTGACCGAACATTGTTTCACAACAAATTATTTTGTTTGAATAAACACAAACTCTAAAAGGAAAACTCTAGATTATTAAAAAAAATTCAATTGAATATCAAGGATCAGATTGGTGTAAATTCAGATTCCTTGCTTTGTAAAGTGATTATATTAAAAAGAAAATTAATTAATCAGATTTTCCTCTTTTACTTCTGTATGCAATTTTTTGATAATTTCTTATGAGATGAAACTCAAAATGGGCAAAGATTGCCTTGTGGAAATCTTTAAAACTCCATTAGAAACTAACTTTATTAAAATAAAAATTCTAGATGGGTTTACAATTAAAAGATATTTAAAAAATAAATTTTAATTTTTTTTTTTTAAAAGATAAGGTTGAACTTGCATTTATTTTTGTATAATTTCAAATCACATTTTAAATAATTTAGCCAACAATTCTTTCAACATCTATAAATAAACTTTCGTGGACGATTTACTAATAATTTTCAAGACCAAATTGCAGTTGGATTTATTTTGGCGTAAATTTGCAGAGCAACTTCATTACGAATGAATTACCATGTGAAATTGGTCGTCGAGATTGGAGCAGGCGCCGTGCTATGAAACTACACAGCAGCCGTCGTTCTCGCGTCGATCGCGAGTGAGATAAGAAGGGCGTCACTCAAGGCCGTTAAACTTGTATTAATTTGGTTAATATTTGATGTGGTGCGACAATGGAAAAGAGAGGAAATTGACTTACGTGCTGCGAATGATTGATGGCAACGAAAAAAGGATCCAAAGCGCCTTCCTCTGCTCTGCTTCTGCAACACAAAATGAAAGGAAATTATTATCGCTGAATGGGGACGCTATTCTTGCTGCGACACACTTGGAGAATCAAAGGCAATGAATTGGATTGAATTCAAATTATACGAGGAGGTTAAATCAATTCAACGTCCTGAAAGAAAAATGAATAGTAAAAGTACTTTTTAAATTTTAGCAATTTGAATTTTTTTAAGCAAGTTTAATTTTAAAATTTAATAAGCGCGGCTCAACCTATATTTTGAAGCTTTTGAGTTTTAGCAACTTTTCTTAGCGAGTTTAAGCTTATTGCAAATCTCACTTTCTGAGCAAGCCGGCGTATGACTGTTTTGGGCCATAACGCACTTTAATGATAATGACTGGCCATTATAGTTCTGGAATAAAAAACAGCTTGCAGAAATGAAAGAATGGAAAAAAGACGGAGCACAGACGAAAAATTCTCTAAATCCACGACAAGAACAAAACACACTGGCATAAAAGAGAGAAAGCGAGATTTCTCAGCGAACATCGCCATCAATTCCGCCAACAAAAAGTGTTGCCTTGCCGAAAGTAAGGACTCTGGTCGTGTAAGTAAATTTCGTCCACCGGTGTGTGCGTCTTTCTCGCCGGCGGCACTGCTTTTCTTTTACATTGTCATCTCGGCGGGTTCATGATCTCCTGTCCTCTGCACATGCTTCAAGCGGGCACACAAGGAAAGCTGTTTTTCTTCGACCTTTTTGACAGAAATTCCAGCACACAACCCCTGCGATGCTAACAGGAAATTTGGCCGTCCGGCGCACGCACAGGTGCCATCGCCTCGCACTTTCCTCGTGACAATATTGATTGTGCGAAATTGGCCGCGCACTCACACGCGATTGAGAAAGTGCCTCTTATTCAGATGCCATTTATAAGCGCATAAAAAAACCTTTGGAATCTCAACAAAACTCTCAAAAAGTATGCAAAAAATGCACTAGTTCAAATCTGGGTCAATTTTTTTTTAATTTGTTAAAATTTAATTTTAAATTCACAAATAATTTTTTCTAATATTTGGATGAATTGCAAATTTTAATTTTCATAACATAATATTAAATATATAAGTTCATTTGTTCTAGGATTTTTTTTGTTATAAAATTTCCTTTTTGTAAAATTTGTAAAGCAGATTTACAGTTTAATGAAATTAGATATTCTTTGATAATTCCATTGAAATGAACTGAACCATATCCTGAAAAGCTCACTTTTCAGACAAATATGAACATTTTTAAAACTTCACAGAACAAAGCTTTTAATATACAGATTTATTTTTTTGAATCAAATAATTTTTAGCAAGCACTGAGCAATGAAATGTGACGCAAGGCAGATCATTAAAAGAGCATCTCACTTTTGTTGTCGGATTCTTTTTCGCTTTTCGCTTGTGACAAAATGCCCGCATTGAACTGGAAAGGACTGTTGCGCGTGTTCTTTCTGAAATATTCACCTCGCCCATGTGACAGCGACAAGTTCGGATCTTTCGGAAGTGCAGAAAGTCAATACGTATTTCGCAACTCGCCGTATATTACGGCTTCCATTTCACTCTCTCGGTGTGTATGTGTGTGCGCCAATTTAGCCTCTCGTAATCCTTTTACGCGACGGTTCAGCTTTTGATCGCGAATTTCGCAGACAGCCTTTCAGCGAAAGGGATGAAGATTTTCACCCATCTACTCGGAACCATGTACACAATTTGTCTTGAAAGTTTTAAGCCCTGAAAACGAGACTTGAAAGGTTTTTGATGTACGCACATTTGAAAGAAATCTCACAAGTCATATCTTTCCGCAGAAATAAAGTCACTCATTCGGTGCTTTCATCAAATTGTGTGTGAGGAATTTATCCTGCGAATAAAAAGCACAAAGCACAGAACGGACTGTTTTCGGAGTGGAAATTTATTCGTTTCCTTTTGCTGCTAAAGCCTCGACCTTTTTTTGCTTAAAAACACACACACTTGAAGGAAAATAAACACAGTACATTTCTAAAACCTTTTGTTTTTACCAGACGGAAAAAGAGCAATCCGCAGCGAGCTCACTTTTACGTACTTTTCACCTTTTTTGCTGGAGAGCGTTTCCTCCTTTTCTCGTCTCCCTTGCGTGAAAAGAAACCCAGGCAGATCTGCATCCACGTGGCTTGCACTCTCTTTTGCGGTGGTTCTTTCACCCATAAAAGTTTCATCCGCCTTTTCTCCGCCGAGCGCGATTTATTTCCCTTCCACTTCACAGTCGCATGAATTTCTTGTTTGCATAAATTTTGCAATAGAATTGAAGTCATCGCACTTTTTGCACGTTTGTCTCCAAATATCGGATTCTAAATTTTGCAAAGAACTAATTTTATTCTTACAAAATATTATTCATTCATCAAAACCGCAAAAAACCATTTAAGGATTATTTCAAGTAAATTTAAAGCAATATTTGCTGATCATTTAAATAATTTTATCTTTTTCTAATATTGAGTTTCAACAATCTATAAATTATACAAATCATAAGAAGTTTATCGTTTATCTAATTTTGTTGTGAGAAAATTTAATTTAGGCAACATCTTGACAAGGCTGCCATGCAGATTGCATAACTTTACTTCTCAACTGATTTCTAATGTCGATTCAAAAGACAGCTGAGGCAATTGACTTCTTTACATATAAAAAGATTCCCTTCTTGCCACAAAAGCCACGGAAACTCACGTAAACCAATTTTCACGCCAGCAAACAGGCAAATTGCTGCATTTTAGATTGAAACAAAATGAGCACCATCACTTTCCCGACAACTCCACTGCTGACTCGCGGCCTTTGATAAATTGCAGCAACAACGACGTGGCTGCTGCTCGCGAGAGCACAGGCGAATGAAATACCGCGTGCTGAAAATTTACAGGGGAAGCAATTACTTGTTGCGACGCCATGGGATTCGCGCAGGTTAGGCAAATGCAATATTGCCGGAGTAATGCCTCGCAAGATGCATTATTAAATATGTGAACGAGATTGGATTCTCCTAGCGAAACGTGTTTTACACAAAGCTCGACGAGTTTTTTTTCTAGAATGTTGTAGCGCAACAAACATCAGCTAAAACTACTCCTTTATTGCGCCGAACGTGTTTTCCCCTTTACACCGCTTACTTTGAGCAAAAATAGAAAAAAATCCTGCTCACTTATTTTCAATAAATCGTAAGCAGTGCGCACGGTTTTATGAACGAACGAGAAATAGGTTTATTGCACAATTAAGTGAGCAGTAAAATACCTTCATGATGATTTTGAGACTATAAAGTGTTGCATGCAAAATGTTGGTTGGAAGCAATTATTTTTTTATGATTGCCACAGTGATAATTTTCGTCACTTTAATTTGAATAATGTGATAAATGTCTAAATTTACTTGTATTAAAATAATAATAATTTTTTATTTCCAAGCGTATCTTTTAGAATAAAGTGATTTTATGTAAATACGTTATTGGAATTTAATATTATTCATTTGCTTTATTTCAACGGCCGTATTCAAATCTCTGTTTTATGAATCAGTGCCCCAGCAGGAGTCTCTTTGACGAGAGCAATAAATATGTAAACGCAGTGCTGCGGGTCGTCGACCTCCTTATTCACTTCTCTGGCCCAAATTGAAATATTAGATAATAATCGAGCGGTGCGGCCGCCGCTGTGTGCATTCGTGATCTAATCGAGCGTTAATTGTGAGCTCAAACAATTGCATCATGTGCACCAACCACTCCGGCGTCTCGTGATGCACATTTCGAGATTAAATTGCCGCAGCGCCATTCGAGCGGGCATTTGAATGCACGGAATCCAAATTAAGCATAGTCGACGCTCTCAATCTGCTTGTTAGGCTTAGGTGGCAGTAAATTTAAGGTGATTAAGGATCCGCTCATTAGCATTCGTGCTGAATGAGCGCTCATTAGAGTTAAACTTGGCGCGAGAGACGATTTTCACACCTTGCAAGGAAGGCTATTGGGATTTTGTTGCTTCATTAAGTCTCGAGTGAATCCACTACAAATGGGTCGTCCCGATTTTAATTGTCTTGAATATAATTATCCAGCCTAATATCACATGAAATAAAAACTAAATTTGAGTATTAATGATTAACTTATTCAAAAGCTGTTATGCTAATTTTATTGTCAATTTTATATCCATGCTTGAATCTAAAAATATAAATTTGGAGAGGGCCGTAAAAAAAACAAGTTTCTCGATAAATTTTCTTTCCTCAATTTCGTCCTTGTTGCCATTCAGCAGAAGAAAAGGCAATTTGCATTATTTTCATACATTTTATGCCAGCACCAAAATATGCACGCACAAAAGAGCTTTTTTCCGATATGCAAAGAATAAACATTGTATTATTGTCACGCGTTTCTCTCTTAATATTTTCTCTCCAACTGTGGCGCATTTTCAAAATCGTATTATGCGCGCACGTTATAATCCCAGGTCGGAGGCAGCTGTGTCGCTTTCCTTCGGCACACCCTGGGTCTGTGTTGCTTCCAATCCCATTATCAACTCGCCGTTCTGTTTCGCTCTGCAAACGTTTGCGCCACGCTAAAAATTTCATGTTGAAGGCCACGCTGGATTATAAAATAAACACACGCGTCGACGCATTTCTCCATATTATGCGCTCCTTCATATAATATGTATCCACGGCGGACCTTCATAAGTTTTGTAGAATGCGTCGCAATATTGTAGAAAGGAGAATAATACTGACCTCGATGGAAAATTCCTTTGCAAGCAGGGTTGGAAATTTTAATTTCTATGCAGTGGTTTAAAAAAGAAGTAAACTTTTTATGTGAAACTAAATGACTCAATTTTTAATTTATAAAATTTTAAATAAATTTTAAATTAAGAAATTATTTACTTATATTTATAAGACACATAACTCGAGACCCAACGCATAACCATGCAGAAAAAAAATTTAATTTTTTTCTTTCTAATAAGCAATTACGTAACTTTAAAAATTATTTTCAAGATATTTTATTATTTTTGTTTTATTTCCTGAAACCGATCAACAACTTGAATTTTTGTA